TTTGAAAAGCAGATATAAAACACTTTTCTTTTTGTAAACTAATTGAGAATGTCGATGTTTGCATGACGTAAATTATAATATCTCAGTCATTAAAATGTTCTGTATGGCCGTTAAAATCTAAAAATAGATTTAAATGTGACACAGAAGGAGATTTCTCATGCAAATTTAGTATTAATAGTGAAAATGTACCTCATCTATCGTTTTCCAATAATTATAAACAGCAGTATTTTAGAAATCCAGAATAATTAAAACTAAATTTTGATGTTTTGATCATATAGAAGAACATTTTATGCAGATATATTTTATAATAGACGTGTTCATTAAATAACTAAAAAAGTTAAAGTTCTTTTCCTCCATAAAATAGTTTCTTATAAAAATAATCCAAAAAATAGAATTTTTATATGCGATCTAACATTTCTTAATATTAAAAGATATTTTAAAAAGCACATAAATGTCAATAGGACATTTTTCATGCTTGTTTTGTCACTATTAGGAATATATGTCCAACATCAAGTTTTGAACATAGATTAACAGTATGTAGAATAGGATATTTATGTATGAATCCAAAAAAAAAAAAAAATTGGTACCCCTAAGATTTTAGTTAAGTAACATTTATTGAACACTGGGTAAATGGGTATTTTAAAAATGTATACAAAATGATAAAAGTAACATTCGTACAGTGTGTCGTATATCTTTTTTTATATCGTATACAAACGACGGTCATAAATTCCACTTTGTACCATGTAATCGCACTATTTCGGTAATTTATTCTTGCGTCGTTGACCAATACCTTTTCTAAGATTTTTTGATAAGGAAAAAAAATATGAGGAATAAGATGTTCCTTAATTGTCATTAGCTATCGCTCCAGTAGGCGAATCCGAGCAGAAACATAAAAGGCAATAATTCTGCACTATTCTCGTATAGTAAATTGCTTTGTGAGTTGCCTCATTTATCTGAAACAAATCTAACTAAAATTTTAGGTTTTAAAAGTACTATTATAAAGCTTAAAATAACAATAATGAATAAAATTGTGAATCAAAAGCTACTTAAATGATAGTACTAAAGAGCGCTTATAAATATTAAAAATCAATCTCTTTCTAGATAATAAAATAATTATTATGTAAGTACATGCTGTACTAAATATAAGAATGTTACATGCTTTTTCTGTGTTTATAGCAGGAAGAAGTCGTTGTATGATTTAAGAAAAATTTTAACTAAAAGTGATAAAATTTATTTTAACATTAAAGTTGTTCCGATACTTTGTGATTTAAAAATATGTTTCACTTATGACCAGACTGGTTATAAAAGAGCACACCATAGTTTAAATGGAACGAGCAAACAACAAAAACAACAACAAAAAAAACCCACAAAAACAGCAAATAGAAAACGGCAACAACAAAAAAAATAATCGCATTAAAACACAATGTTGACTTATATAACCGTGTTATAATATGTCCTATAAGTCTAAAGTCTAGACACCAAGTTGGTAATTGAAAATGTGTTATCTCAAGGGATTTTATTTATTATTTCCATCACAGCAAGTTTATTTTACGGCACGTCGGCTATGATAAAGGAAGTGTAATTATTTCTGATACCAAATTATTGTTATTTCATTTCACGTCATTTCTGAGTTCTCCGTGATATTAACAAACGAAAACAAAAGATTTACATTTTATTTTACAGAAGAACCAATTTTTGATACCGCATTGTTTGTGCTTAAAACTCAAGTATTTCATAGATTTTAATGTTAATTGAATAAATTTGAATACATTTGATGTAATTCTTTAAAATTATCTCTGTTAAAGGCACACACACCATGCCTCAGAAATCCATACATAATTGTCAAACATGTGTTAAGTAATTCTCGATAGTAGAATTAGAGCATGTTGGATGTTACACAGTTGAGGAAAGTGGCGCTTATTGTGCAGTTATATATAGTTAAGGTAGCAAAATGGAAACAAGTAGAGATTTTGATGCTAAAGCATCAAGTCGCCGGATAGAAAAATGATTGTATTATCATAAATATAAGAAAATATAAGTTTAATGGTTCAAGTATAAAAATAAGAGGAACAATGAGTTGAGTAATGTTTGCCACTGAGGCTTGTAAGGCAAGTGCTATGCTGGCAATTCTTCTTGTAATTATACTTTATACATATACTGTTGTAGTACAATGTATGGTACAAGTTGTACCATACATTGAAATCCGTATAGGTTACTAGTTCAGATTCAGATAATTACCGACAAATAATTACCGATCATCGAATATTTGCAAAGTGACTATGAAAATATATATGTTTAATTATTACATGAAACAATACAATTTTACTGTAAAAGTGTTGTACATCATTATTATGTGCTATAGAAAAAATATATAATTTAGTTGAAATCAATGCACGTATTCCAATCGTTACATACGATATATAAAATTAACGTTTAATTGCCTTTCAGTGCGATAAACTATCAACACAAAAATAGTTTATTATTTTTTTCTATGTATCTAATACGATTCCGGACCCCTGACGTCATACCGTTTTGGAAACCTGCGTGACGAAAACCGACGGAATATACCGAAATCAACGATTACTATTACAATGTATTATATATTTCAATAATGTGCCTCTTAAGCATAACAATATTTTGGGATGTTCAACATAAACTAAACAATTGAACTTTTTTGTCGAATGTTTGACAGAAAGGGCCAAGTTAAACCCTTTACCAAGAAGAAAGGAAAAGGTTTTGAAAATGTATTTTTAAAGTAAACAGGTTTCTCTAATTGAACCTGATTAATGAAAAATAACTTATGTAATTATCTGTACAAAATTACAATGATTTACATCTTATCAGTTACCACCATTAACGTACAAATTACCTGTCTTATCAGCAATCTGTTACTATTAATAGATTTTATAACGATATACAACAATTATAAACATGTAGTCACGTGATTCTTACGAAAGACCAGGGAGCATTTGTTTATAATTAGATAAAATAATGTAATATAAAAGGTCTCATAAAAATAAAAAACCAAATAATTCTAAAGAGTCATTTCAAATATCATTCATGATTTTTTTATTATAAAATAGCAATGCTTGACACATAGAAAAAAGTAATAGTATCTCTAATATTCAATGACTGATCCTTGGGGATACGTTATTGATTCATTTTATGAAAATTGTAATGTTGCTTTTTAAGACGTCAATATGTGCATATTTCATTCCACTGAGCAAAGTTATCATATGTTTGATTTTTTGTGATTACTGAAAAATAATTGTTGTCTTTAATTGTTCAATGATTGATATGCTTTTGTTTTCAGATTTTAAGGACTTCTCCTACCATAGGTATAATATATAAACTATTACAAATATAGTCGCCGGTTTCTACCGGCGACTAACAAAGTAATATTTAGACTTTCATTTAAAATGCTTATTCACTATAATTATTCCAACTGTCAACAAAGCAAATTAGTTTTTTTTTTAAAATTGTATTAGATACCAAAAATAAAAATAAAGTTTATGAGGAAAAAAACATGATAGCATTTCTGGGGCATAATGAACCTATAAATAATATGGCTAAGGTCACTAGTTAAATTATTACATTTTCAAAATGAACATAAGCAAAGTTCAGCCACTGCATTGTCCCTGGCCATGCTTTCAAGCAGTTTACCAGTACAAGTGTATATCACTTTTGCAAGGGACTGGCAACTTGTGTACATACATGTGCCAGACCAGAGGCACATTGCGAATGACCGTAGGACGGATTTCTTGATCAATCACAACGAAACTAACATTCATTTTCCGGGATCGAACCCGGGTCGCCCGATTATCTTTCCAATGTTCTAAATATTTATATCTAACCGGGCGGTTTATCATTTAAGATATAGTAGTGCAAATTCTGTTTTTATGTGTGATATTGTTTAAATAAGGTATCAAAACATATTTGTCTCATCTTTCAAAGAAACATTTCAAATTAAAAAAAAATAATTTCGCGGTGCCGTCACTAATTTAGATTATACGCAAAATCATTACAAAATAAAGACATGTCCTTTTTGGTACTTGAATTTTCATTATATTTACATTTTTTTTAGATTTTAACACATATGACACTTCAGGAAAAGACCAATCATTTATGCTGAGGCGCGATTGTTTTTATATTTCGCAAATTATAAATAAAAGAAATGATGTCAAAAGGAATTATGAACTTATCAAATAACATTAGATAATGTAATTCTCACAAACCTGCTAGTCGGAGACATAATACGTCATACGATAATTTACATAAATAACTTTTATTTCAGTTTTGTTGAAATTATAAGTATGTTTCCTAAAAAGAGCTTATTGAAATAAAATAAAGAACATCTAAATTAACAACAAACTGGGGACAATTAGTTTTTGTATTAAAGTTATTTTATAATAAGACATTGCACTATTGAATTTAAGAACAATTATTCTTTCTCTCGCACAGAGGCGATGTTCCTATTTTTTTAGAATTTGTTAAAACGAAAAAAAATACGGGAACATTGCTACACATAATAATTCATTTATGAAAGCTATAAGGACTTTCATTTATAAAATGTTTCAAACATTGATCTCAGAAAAAACTAACTAACTTATAAACACCGTTCATTACTCAAAAACATAGAAAAAAAAACATACACTGTATACGATAAACAATTACAAGGGGGAAAAGCACACAAAAACACACACAAAAACAAAATGTACATGTAACAGCAAAAATCTAATTATTCAGTATTGCGAAATTTCAAAATGATCCATTCTAATTATTAATTTAATATAAAACATTAAGAACAGTTTAGTTTTTATAATCAAAATGGGAGCAATGTGAAACCTGTAAGATTTCTAGATGCCTATCAAACAGGTTAATATTTTCCGTAAAATTTCAAGGTTAAATACGATACCAGATATTTTACGCGAAACATCTTTATCTTGTTAACCATCTGTTTGGCACTATAAATGATGATATAGATTGATAAAGCATGAACGAGTTTTATTAGTAAACACGCATTGGTTACATAAAGGTTTTTCTCGTGATTTGTATACGATAACGTACTAGTATAGAGGATATTGAGACGCAATCAATCGGTTCTGTCTGCAAATCTGATAGTGAATAAGTTGATGCGAAAGAAAACCGTTTCATCACTTTTGCCGATAACTAGCAGTGAGCACATGGTAGGTGAAGGAAACAGTAGGAACGCGTAAGGATATATTACAGAACGCGAAAGAAAATTTAAACCAATAAAGAAAATAAATCCCACAAACATACCAAAGGATATATAGGTGACTTGGATTAGTATTCGGAAAATAAGTAATTTATGGATGACAAGGGATTTGTCTTAAGTTGGCTGATTTTACTTTAATTATCTGTGGACAGGTAACGTGCTACAGGTACTTGTGGAAATATGATGCGCTAGGTGATAAATGTATACAATTAATTATCTAACATTACATTTTGTATCTATTTATATATTATAAAACAACTTGAGTGACATGAGCGAGTGAAAATGAAATAAACATTTCTTTTGCTTGAACATTTAGGCATTTTTTAAAAATTTCACTTGAGTAAATTCAGACATAATGGCATTGGAATTTAAGGGAGGCAACAGCCTTGCACCATGCAAACCAAAAGGAACAATATTGAATTTTCAAAATATTATCAATACCCTTTTCATAGTATTCTTTTTATTGACATCGATCGGTTTATGGGTGTGTTTAATGGAAATAAGTAAATTAAAACAATCTACGAATTCATTAGTTGACACTATTGCAGCTATTAAAGATGATTCATATTACGATCATATTTCAAAACTAAATAGAAGTTATAAGAAACACGACAGGAAGAATATAAATAAACGCAATGATATTAAATACGTTTTAAAATCAAGTGAAACAAATGATAAAAGTGTTAGTAAACGCGAAGCTGTTCCCGTGGGAATGGCGTATGATCCACTTTCACCAGCACCTCAAACGGTAAGTAGTGTATATGTATTTGTTTATTGACGTCAATAGCTAATTTTTGCATCAGTAGTTTGAAACCTTTAAAACCATTTTTTATCAAGAAGGAGGGTTTTGTAACTTTTTAAAACATTTCGGTCCCCTCTTTAAATACTTGACTATTAACATCCATAACGTTTAAATGTTTTTTTTTCTTCTTGTTTTCAGTCGCAGCAACATAAATAAGTTATATGGCGACTTACGTGTAAATCATCTTATTTATATATTTAACTTATAAATTTTGTGAATTTTTCTTCTTTTTTCAAAATCGCGTTTGGAAATAAACCAATATACGGTATACAAACTTATTATCAAAAACAATATTTATGAAAATTGAACATTTGCTGTGTTTTAATCATAGTATTAAATGACCATTTCTATATGAATTATAGATCATTAATAATATAAGTTAACTAAGATGTAAATGTTTAAACAATGCATTTTCAAATCATCTTGTAAATGTTTAAACAATGCATTTTCAAATCATCTGATCTGGTCTTTTTTAAATGTTTTGTAAATATTTCTTCAATAAATAATTGAGCCGCGCAATGACAAAACCAACATAATGGGTTTGCGACCAGCATGGATCCAGACCAGCCTGTGCATCCGCGCAGTCTGATCAGGATCCATGCTGTTCGCTTACAAACCCTATAACAAATAGAGAAACTGATAGGGAACAGCATGGATCCTGATCAGACTGCGCGGATGTGTTTGTTATCATTATCATATTAACATTGTGCACTTGTTATTTTATTGATTATTCTTTTAATTCATTTTTCAACTGCGTAGGTATTTTTTCTTTGAAAAGTTTTATTTCAGCACTTTGGTATACGTCAAATGTTTGATATAGCTTGCTTCGTTTGCTTATTAAATGGCAGCTCTGACAGTACAAAACACTATACAATATCACTTGAAACCTGTGCTACCGATAAGCATATCAACTTTGGTGTTGTTAGATAAACATTGTGAGAGATAATATTTTATATCAGTCATTGATCGCATTTTAATTTCACGGCGCGTCGACTACGACAGAACAATATTTTAGATATGGGAGTTAATGGTTGCAATAAGAGACCTGCAATCTTATTATTGTGGAACAAATACCAAATCAAAAACTGTATATGCATGTGCACATTCAAATATTCCAAAATTGATATTTCATTTTTCTCCATAAATACTTATCACAGTGACAGCTTAATGACATTTCTTCAAATAAATTAAACCGGACAGAGACCTTAAAAGTTTTAACAGTCTTTCATATGAACCAATAGTTTGTTTGTATGCTTGTAACATTTTACATTTAATAAATAAATCATGTAAATATTATGTTAGAAAGCATCGGAAATTAATAGGTCTGTACAATATTTCATTTAAAATTTTAGCATATAAAACATAAAAAAAGAATTTTAAATAATTTGGTAAGCCACCTTAAACAATGTAAGTGTTTATATATAAAAAGAAAATAAGTGAGCTGACTGTGAATGAGAGAAACAAAATAAACCAGGCTCTTTTAACATATTATAGACTTGAAGTTTATACTGAAATTTTAAGAACACTGTGAACTGTTGATATATACGAAAGTGAAAATGCTATTACGTTTAATGTGTTAATAAGATCTGAGACAATCCGATATGCTCAGATAAACGAACGAAATATGCAGACAAATTATGTCTAACTATAAATAAAAATACAATGAAATTTATTGCAAAATTCTTTATGTCAGCCCTTTATTTGATTAAAATTTCATCTAATGACACGTAAAAAGGATGAAATACATTGAAGCATATAGTATCGATGTCTCGATGTTATGTTAAGGAGTTGCATAATTGATTTGGAAGCAAGCAAGAAATTGATTTTTTTGTGTGCAAGAAAACAAAATTATTATTTTAGTTAGTAAAATTTAATGATGTATATATAGTATACATTTTCTTTGTCAAAACCATTGGTATTAGAAAATTATAATATTCCCACTGATATAAAAGCTCTCTATGCCAAAGAATTACTTTTATTTTAATAGCTAAATTGTTTTTAATTTTCTGTGTACTGTTATAGTTTCATAAAGTTACTCATTAGCTGCATACAAGAACCGTCTCTTGCGTCTTTCGCTTCTTTTGAAATAAGTATAGTTGTAGTGATTTAGTATTATTATATGGAACAAGTACTACTTTCACAAGATCTTGCCCTTTTATGACGAAACAAAATGTGATATTTAGTGCTATATTCTTCAGGTGAAAAGCATTCTAACATGCACATAAGCCATTGTTCTAAACCTGATGACCTGCACGTTTGCCCTTTCTAAAGCAGTGACTTGTTATTTATTTTTATGCATTACATTGAATATGCTTGTAAAAAATAAAAGTAATGTTGTTTACCGGTAATGAAATGTTAACACGTGCATAAACATATTCAATGTATATCATTTTTTTGTATCCACATACTCGTAGGAATGTTTGGTTTTATATCCTAGATAACGAACGAGTTACAATTATATGATGCCATAATATCCACTGCATAAACTAGAAAAAAATCCTCAAGAAATGTATCTGTATTGAAGAATTGTAAATATTTTTTTTATGTACATCTAAAATATTCTTCGCAAAAGTTGCGAATTTCAGTTATTGATCCGTCGTTTTCTAGGTAATCAAATAATACTCAAACGTAATGAGAATAATCTAAGATAAACTAGATATTTTATTGGCAAATGCTCCGGTGTGTAGGGCGAAACGTAGTGCTAATATTGCAGCAAGAATATAAACAGCGATAATTTTAAGTTTATCTCTTTATTCATGAATCAAATAACACTAACGTATCGAATAGATAAAACATTAAGTAAATAATTTCCTTCCTGCTTGAATGTTTAGTTTACTCATCTACCGGAAAAAGGTAAGTACTGGTTAGTTTTTTCAGGAAACACGGTCAGGTGGACTGGCTGCCATGGTATTACACAAAATGTGTTACAATCGACGTAAAAATCAACTAAACAACCAAAAAGCGAAATGTTAACAGGGAATCCGGCAGCTGGAGTTTGTAAAAAAAACCCCATCATTTCTTAATTTTATGAAATAAACCGGTAATAAAGCAGACGCTGTGAAAGTTTAAACAAGAAAAATATTACATACATTCGTATGTAATATAGGTACGATTGCATACTATTTTTTGTGAAGACTTTGTGTTTGCTGAATTAAAGGTGTAATGTAAAATGAACAAACATGTCATGAGATATTTTATATCTTTAAACATTTTCATGGAATGTAATTAATGTATCACCATATTAAAGTTGCATGCCTTCAGATGAGAAAAATGATTTCAAGGAAATCAAAATATGAAAAGAAAATTCACGGTCAATTGACTGCTTTGAAGCATAATCACAAAATAAAATTACAGGAAATTAAAAACCTTTTTAATACACTTAAGGTAGAATTTCATTGTAAATCATAGTCAACGATTTGAGATATGATTATTTATTCATATTAACATCATTATTGTTATATATTGATAAAAAAAAACCCCGAAAGACACAGTTTGTAAATATTTATTACAATAAAAATATGAAAAAGGTATAACGCGCCGAGGTTAGCTATAATTAAAATTCCGCGCTAAGTCGCGGTGGTGCTTGGGATAATCACTTGATACTGTAAAATGGCAGCCATTTTACGATACGAATCCTCGGACAGTTTATCCTGCCGAAAAAATACTTGCAATTCAAAGTTTGCTGGCTACATAAAGATTATCGATTTACTCTTTGCACACTTTTTCTCTGCCTGAGTATAATAATATTGACGTGTTTTCATTGGCTTAAACCATCACGTTACCAATACACATGTAGGTGTGAACTAATTTCGTGTTCATTAAAATGATTCCGTTAATAGACATATAACAATCTTATTTACAAATGAATTGATAAAATAACTATCCCAGAAGCATTTAAGATAATAACAATCATTGGAAAAAAATAAATGCATATAAATTGTAAATTTGTGTATGACAACTCAACCCCCTAAACAAAACATAATAGACTCAACCAAAACAAGCGCCTGCTTCTTCACCGAACTATGTAGTTGCATGACCATGATTAGCAATAAAGCAAACCAAATCTAAGAGATAAACCTATTGTAAAAATAATACTATGACCACAGCAGATTTCGTACAGAAAACATATAAAAACGCTTGTTACAAAGTTCAATTTATCGTACACAGAAAAAGGTTAACGGTTTCTAAATCATAATTTTGTACACGTTTTGAATGGAAAAGTCGTTGGTCGAACATGTTTCAAATAGCATGAACTATGCGTATACGATATATTTTTGTTTTGTAACACAATGAGTAAAGGATTGTCATAACAAATGCATTTAAAGTTATAATTGGGTAGGGAAGTACTGTGAGAGTGCCTGAAATATTGCTAAATTTTAATAACGTTTTACAATATCAGAAATGAAATGTGCAATACATACAGAAATCGTCCGAACCAAATCGCTAATATTGTATATTTAACAACATGTGTCAAGGTCGGTGTTGGCAGCTTTAAAAAGTAACCCGTACTTCACTGGAGTGTTGTTATATTTTTTCTGGTCCTTCGGGGTCATTAATTCAAGCACTTTAGTGTTTAAGATTTAATACCGTTTATAAGTTAGTGTAAGGACGGCGATAGAGATGTTGCACTTTTTCATCATCAGCCATTAATAGACTAAATTAAACCGTGTATGCAATTTTCAATGGATATTGTTGTTTTCTTTGCTTATGATTAGAATTATCTTTAAAGAAGCTTCCAGATCACACCAATTTTCCTGACCATTTTGAAAATGTTTCAAAAAGTAAAGTATTTTCAAATACAAAAATAGTTATTAACACCTTGCAAAGTGCACTTTCAATCCACGTAAATTATCAAATAAATGTCAAATAAATTTCAAAATACAATTACAGCCTAATTGCGTAAGTCACGAAGTAGAAATATGGTGATAAATACGGCTTAATCAGTC